AAACTTAGTATGTAACTCTGTACAGTAGTCAATTTATTCTTATATGCATCATCTGGAGTGGAAGTTCTTATTTGTTGTATACCAGGTTGTGCATATAAGCCTCCTCTTGTTTTTGCATTATGGCAAAGAGCCATGCTATCCCTCCTGGCTGGAGATGCTGGATCAGAAGACATGGATATAAAAGACAGTTTTCTCAAAATGAATCAGAGATATGATCTATTAATATCATCCACCCCTTCTCAGTAACCATTCTTATTGGATCCAGCTATATATTGGATGCATATGGCCACTTTTAGACTCAACAGCCCACCCATCATCTCTTGTTTGTTAGAAAGAAATTATAAAATCCTGACAGACTTCCTAAATAAGGAGTTTCAATTACTTGGGGGGGTGGGCACCATAGGCTACTGGTGTCAACTAAGATATTTTTTGTTTAAACAACCTTGGATGTGGGCACCCTATGACCCAGACCTCTCTAGTCCTGAAGGGCTCACGAAGGGCTGTCAGCACTGGAGCTGGACATGCTGTGGAGCTACTGCGATTGATCCAAGTTTCTAAGTTCCGAAAAAGCCATGTTTAGCTCCCAGTGGGGCAGCGTGGTGAGAAGAGGTGAGCCTTTTTATTGTCCCAAGGAGTCAGGAAGAGGCTTTGCATCCAAGGATTTTAAAATCTAATTTGAAATATCTCTTTATTGGACCTAAAGGAACAGTTCAGAAGTAGGGGAATGGCTCAAGGGTGCATTGGCAGATTGTATGCCTGTTATGATGCGGAGATAGTGGAAAGAAGGCTGGTCTGGGAAGACAGCAGTGTTGGGGGATACTCAGAGAGATTAGGAGTGTGACAGCTAATGGGTGGTCTTCAAACTGCAACAATATAAAACCTCACAGCCTTTTGAGCCAGTTCTGACTTAGCAGTGATCACGGTGCAGTTTCTCCACCTTTCATTATTTGCTGGTCCCAATCCAACCAAATCATCTTCCATTTAACAAATTTTCAGCTGGAACTCAGAGATGAATGGCTTAAATACAAACCCAACATTTAATAGCACTTTAATTCTGTGGAGATCATTATATTTAAGAAAATTGCTCATGATAAAAAGATTCAGTGATTCTTTTTTTTTTTTCTTTTTTCTTTTTCGGATACAGCCCAAGGTTTTACTGACATGTATCGCATTCCTAAAATGGTTCATGATATGCTTTTCCCTTTAAAAACACTATACCTGTGTTGAAATGACTTTGTACCGCATTACTAATTTCTAACTGCCACTTATAATAGCCATTTATAGCATCACAATGTCTCAAAGGCAGGATGTGTCATCTATATTGAGAAAGATTTAAGACCTATTTTAAAACAGAGCTACAGTAAGAAATCTTGACTTGCAACCAAATAAGGATGTTTGTCACTTTTTAGGGACAGCTTGTCTACCAAGGCTTTGCTATACCAACTGACCCTCTCCTTCTTCACTCCCTGGGTTTCTGTTGCCTTATGTTCCTGCTTTGTTCTCAATCATGGAACTTTTTCTCTCTTCTCTTCCTCTAGTTTTGTTTATGGACCACTTTCTCCATAGACTAAAGACAGAGAAGTTTGCAAGGACCTCGTTGTGGTTCCTTGGTGCTTAAAATCTTCCAAGGAGTCCTCATTGCTCTTGTTGTTATACCCCATTTCCC